GCAATAATGCCTTCTATCGACAGAACTCTGTCAACAAAAGGCGTTATTCCTCGTAGAATGAGGTTTACATACGTCGACAAAACTGCTGAGTTTTGTCGATGTTATGTCGACATAACTCAAAGGCAGTGTGGATGCCCACTTTTGTCGACAAAACCCTGTAGTCTAGATGTACCTAGAGATGTAAATGAAGCACTTCGAAAGTGCAAATGAAACGGGAATTTAAATATCCCATGCTTCATTTGCATAATCACATCATGGCGCTGTTTTGAACAAGCACTATGTCAAAAGTGAAACCACAGCGTAGATGCAGTTTTTTCGACAACGGGGCAATTTTTTGAAAGATTTTGTACTCCTCATTTTTGACGTGATTATCCAAATGAAGCACGGGATATTTAAAGCCATGCTTCATTTGCACTTTCCAAGTGCTTCACCTACATCCCTCTGCCGACAGAGGGCTGTAGTGTAGACACGGCCTTAGATTCCTGTAAGCCTCATTTCACGAGGAGCAAGGGAAGATGAAGGAAGAGTGTTGTTCCTTCGACTTCCTGCTGTGTAGACAGCGCCAAAAGTCGAGTTAAGGTATTTCAACTTCAGCTACGCAATTGATGTAGCTGAAGTTGCGTAGCTTAATTCCATTTTTGCCCTGCTGTGTAGACATGCCCTTAGAGAAAATAAGCAGATTGTAAGCAGGTTGTATTTATTTTTATTTCTCTCTAGTATAAAAGTATCAAACTTATGTTTCTGATTCCTGCATTAAGGCTACAAACTGATATTTCAAGTTTGGGAATATCTTGATGCACTATCTTTGGATTGTTCTGAACTTACATGTGAACTTCCAATATGGCTTTAACTGGTGTTTGTGTATATATATATTTTTCTTTATACAAGAATTACAAAACCTGGAGTTTTCAGGTGCCTAAGCAGCCCCAGGAATCACGATTAAGGTTGCCCCCATCCCCAAATCTGAAATGGCACCCCATCTACAATGCTATCAATGCTCAAACCTCACTTCACTGGCCCAAGCAGCAGTGTAATTGTGTTGAGAGCCTGAGTAGCGTGTTGTAACTGGATCCCATGGCATACCCCGTCTTACACCAGGGCCATTCTTCTCTATATGGGACTGGGTTCTTGGGAAGGATGTGGGTGATCTAGGACCTCACAACATCCCTTTCTACAGGTGTTCAACTCCGTGTGTGTGTGCAGGCCTAATGCCACAGCACCGCACTGCAACCCCTGTCATACTATCCCGAGGACCCTCCACCTCAGGGCCCCCCTGTGTAAGGGACCCTTTCACCCCTACATACAGAACTCCCCCTTCACAACTGAACATGTGAGAATCTCACCTTGCAGCTTCTCCAGTCATTCATGAGAGGCCCATGCCTCACAACCCTGCCCACACGCAGCCCTGAAACAACGAACAGCTCACCTCAGAACCCCTTTCACTATCACCCAGGGGCACTGACAGCCTCCCTAGGTCCCTGGGCAAGGTGTGGGGAGACCGGGCTCCTGCTCCCTGAAGGGGTGGGGCCATGGGTGGAAGGGGCAGGGCCTGGAGCTCACCATGTTGGCCCCCAGGAAGCCCTCAGTACAGCCTGGACCACAGCATGTCCCTCCCGCTCTGCCCTCAGAGCCCCATGGAGTGTGCAGCACAGTGCTCCGGTGGTGGTGTGTTTCTCAACCGTTTTTTATAAAGTAACCCTTTTTCAAAAAACAAAAAATGATAAGTACCCCCAGTACCTACAGTTTTCAGACACACACCATTTTTTTCTACTATTGCAACACATTTGTTTAAACAGGTGATGAAATGTTTGGGTGTAAAAAGTACAAAACTAATGAAGTGCTGTAAAACTTACAACAAAAATTCAGTTTTCTCCAAATTTCAATGTCAGTTGCGTTGACGTACCCCCCAGACGTCTCTCGAGTGCCCTGAGGATACTCGTACCACTGGCTGGGAAACACTGGTGGAAAGGGCCTGGGCTTCTAGCCAGCCCCACTGCCGCAGGAGAGCAGCTAGGAGCCCAGGGCCCCTTTCAATTGCTGGGCCCCAAGGCAACTGTCCCCTTTGTCCTCTCCCCCCGATTTCACCCCCATAGCCTCATCGGTCACCCCCTGTCCCATCAGTCCCCCCCATCCCTCCTCACCCCAGAGCCCCACCGGTCCCCCCCATCCCTCCTCACCCCCAGA